GAGCTTTGTTATGGCGGGGCGGCTTCTGTTTACGTTGTAGCCAAGAGGCTTGCGTTTGTGTTTGCTATTTGTTACGCCGGTGGTTTGGGTGAGGCTGTTAGGGGTTGGAGGAGGCCTCATAGGGGACTCTCACTGGTGTGGGGACCTGAGTGCCAGTGAGGGTGCAGCATTCGGGGTACATAGACCCCAGCCCCAGAGAGGGGCAGTTGAGAAGCCCCAGAGAGAGGGGCGTTGCGGAGAAGCCCCAGTGCAGGCGTGGTCAGTCCCGGAGAAGGGGGCAGCAGTGTGGTCAGTCCCGGAGAAGGGGGCAGCATTACTGAGGAGGCCCTGGAGAGGAGGGGCAGCATTACTGAGGAGGCCATGGAGAAGAGGGCGCGGAAAGAGAGAGAGAGAGGGAGAGAGAGGGACAGGGCTGCCGAGAGCCCGAGTGCCAGAGAGGGAGTGGGGACAGAGAGAGACCAAACAATGTCTATTCCAGCTGCGAGGCTTGGGGCATGGTAAAAGGGGTGGTTGGAGCCACACATAGTCCATAAGGCTAGGGTGCCCCGAAGCACCCGTTTGCAGGACAAGACCCACGAGGGGTCCAGGAATCCACGGGGCCAGAGGTTACAGCGGACCATGTCCAAGAAGACATAAGGCAGCCTCCCTAATATATTGCAACATCAAAGACGTGGCGGGCAAGAATCTGAGGGTGCCCTTGGGCCAACTTGGCACAGGAAGGGGGCCTTGAGGAGATCATGGCCCTCCTGCAGGACCATGCCGTGACAAAGTGGTGCATTGTTACAAATAGTGTAACAATGCACATTTTTAGAGCGGTTTCCATGTTCAATGTTAGATCCCATTTCCCTTTAAAATCAATGTTGTACATTACTATACGTATTTTAGATGGCAACATCATTCCCCTTTAGAATGCTTATAGTTAATAAAAGTCTTCAAACCATTGCTGAATATATATGTTATCAATGGGGCAGAATATCTGTACATAATAACCATAAAGAATTTTTTCTACACATAAATATTCTTATGTACATTGCTTACTAAAACTTTCATATTATATTTACCAAATAGAGAGCAATTCCTCCTCCTATTAGAAATCCACAATAAACATCAACTGGGTGATTCTTGTACTGTGTGATACGAGTCAGGCCGCATATAATTCCACAGATAATAAAAGCAAAGACCAGTAGAGGTTTTAGAAGTTTAGAGGAGTCCGTTAACGTGGAATTGAAGTACATCTTGAAAGAAGAAAAAAAAGTGACTTAAAGAAGTTGCATTTAACTACAAGACGATACTTTCTTGTGTTCATTATTTCTTCAATACAAAGTAAGCCTGTATATAATATTGTCACTTTGTATGAATTTTGCTGATTCTGTTTTTCAGACCTAGTAAAGTCTACTCATATGCTTTAGAAAAATATGTCCTCACATGGGACCCATTTCTGGAGAAATGATCTAAGAAATGTCTTTGCTGTCATCAAAAACGAGAGTGAGAGCTTTGGTTGGGGACTTATTAGACCCTAACTAGTTGTGAGGCCCGAGGCATGGATAAACACAATTAGCTAAGGAGCTAGCACTTCCAGGATGTAGGAATTGATATACCAGATAAGATCCAATACCTGTTTCCCAGTGGCCAGTCCTAGATGTGTGAACTTCCCACTTTTCTCAGCTAGGGGGAAGAATGCCACCCCTCTGGCCTAGGGAGTCAGAAAAGGCAGTGGGGGGGGGGGGGGGGGTCATGACCTATTAAAAACTGCATTACAACCTAAGGGAAAGAATCTCATTTTCAGCGTAACCATACCCCTCAAGATCAAGTAGTCACTGTCAAATTCTCAGCATATATGTATCGATATTTTTATCATTGTTTTCATACATATGTTTTGCTCTTACTTCTATAGTAAGCATAAAGCAGTTAGTAATTTGAAAGGGTTGTGAAACACTGCTTCAAAGGAAAGTGAAGAGACCTCAAAAGAATCAGATGTAGAGTAATTCCTCCCCAGTGAAGGGTTTCTTTTAATCCCTAATAAAGCAATCATGGAAGACAACAGGGCTGTGTGAAACAGCATCGTTTTGCTTCCACTTCTGTTTTGACAGAACAGTGTTTCGTTTCAAGTTTAGTTTCCTTTTGAAAGCACTATTTCATTTTGTTTCATCAAAAGTTTCACTGTTTCAACACTGTTTTGAGTTTTGCCCACACCCCTGGAGGAGTCCGGCAGGGCTCTCCTGGGGGTGTGGGCGGGAGGTTGCCTCTGCCACTAGGAGCTGAGCCCAGTGGAAGGAGGTGGAGCGCAGGCCTAGCACTGCACTCCATTTCCCCCCACCAGGCTCAGTTCCACAGGGCTGGGAGTTGCTGTGCGCTGAGCCCAGTGGAGGGAGGTGGAGTGCAGCCCCAGTGCTGCATGCCACCTCCCTCCACCAGGCAGCAAGTCACTAGGTGCTGAGGGCTGGCCAGCCCCCTCCACTGGGCTCAGCACCTAGCGGCTTGCTGCTTGGTAGAGGGAGGCAGTGTGCACCACCACTGCTGTGTACCAGCCCACTCCACTGGGCTCAGCGCATAGCAGCTTACTGCCTGGTGGAGGGAGGCGGTATGCACTGCTGGCACTGCACACCACCCCCTCCACCAGGCTCAGTGCCTACCAGCTTGCTGCCTGGTGGAAGAAGGTGGCATGCAGCCCCAGCATTGTGCTCCACCTCCTTCCACTGGGCTCAACTCCCAGCGGCTCCAGCCCTGTGGAACTCAGCCCGGTGGCAGGAAGCAGAGTGGAGTACTGGCTTTGCCTGCCTCCCACCACCAGGCTGAACTCCATGAGGCTGGTGGAGCTGATGGGCGTGCAGCCCAGTGTCGGGAGGTGGGCAGAGCCAGCGCTGTGCTCCCACTGGCTCCACCAGCCCCATGGAGTGCAGCACGGTGGGGGGCGG